GAACAGTGTCTGGCACATGAATGGTGTGTTCTAAATAAATATTTTTAATAGATAACTAAATGAAATATCCTACAAGAGAAAGCTAGTATTTGGAACTCACCCATCAATAGAACCTAAAAGCCAAGAACTTTGGCCTGTCTCCACCTCTGAACACACCCAGCCCCCGGAGGAGCCAGCGGAGAGAAACAGGAACAAAGAGGTGGGGAAGGGAGCAGGAGTGGCGCCCACCAAATGGGACCCCTGGGGCTTAGGCCAAACCACCCAGCATGGAGAAAGGACTCAATCTAGGAACTGGTGTGAGATTAAGTTTAGATTTGTCTGGCCTGGATTTTAGCAACACCTAAACAAGGTTATTCCATTTTTTTTTGTTTTTTCTTTTGAGATGGAGTCTCACTGTCCCTGAGGATGGAGTGCAGTGGCGCGATCTCAGCTCACTGCAACCTCTGCCTCCCAGTTCAAGTGATTCTCATGCCTCAGCCTCCCAGGTAGCTGGAACCTGAGTGCACACCACCATTCCCGACTAATTTTGTATTTTTAGTAGAGATGGGGTTTCACCATGTGGCCCCCGGCTCACGCCTGTAATCCCAGCACTTTGGGAGACCGAGGCAGGCAGTGAAGGTCAGGAGATGGAGACCATCCTGGCCAACACGGTGAAACCCCGTCTCTACTAAAAATACAAAAAATTAGCTGGGCATGGTGGCAGCCTGTGATCCCAGCTACTCAGGAGGCTGAGGCAGGAGAATCGCTTGAACCCCGGACATGGAAGTTGCAGTGGGCAAGATGCGCCACTGCATCCAGCCTGGGCGGGAGAGCGGCCTCCGTCTCAAAACAAACAAAAGCCTTCAAAGGCGTGAAATTGCTATTTTATTCTTTAAAAATGCCCATACAAATACATAGTGTTATATTAAGGCAAACCTACTTCAAGAAGCACAAAGTTAATTTCTTGATTCCAAGAAATATGTGAATGTTTTAAAAAAAAACCCCAAAACACCGAAAGTTGAACTCAAGATAGTTTGTAACATTTTGTGCAAAAGAAGGGCCAGAGAACAGTTTTCTTCTTTATACCTGTTTACCACAGACCTCCCTGAGAGCAGTAATTTTTAGCAGCTCTCCTGTGCAAATAAGTCTCATCAAAGGAATCAGTGTGTGAGCCACAAATACCTTCTCAGTGCAGTTTCACCTACAATACAAACACTCAGAAGCACAAATTTAACTGAAGTGAGAAACCCGGCCATTCTGTAGCTTCAGTTTTTCTACCAGTAATATATTAATTTCGTGAAATAGCCTAATAATTTACTTCTACTATCAAAACAGAAGCCCAATCTGGGAGAACAATTTTATAGAAGTCACACTAATTTCAATCACATTGGTAGGAATTCATGTTAGTATAGGCTGAGGCAGGCGGGACGATCGCTTGAGCCTAGGAGTTCGAGACCAGCCTGGGAAAAGGCAGTGAGACTCCATCTCTAATTTTTTTTTATATAAAGAAATTCCAGAGAGGGAGAAGAGCGGATTGATATGTGTCTGTCAAAGACAAATTGTATTGTGCTTACTGTACATACAACACAACTATGAACCTTCCTTCACGCAGCTCACAATCCAGTAGTGAGAGGGAACTACGAAAACATGAGACCCCACGATGAGGAGAAAAGGTGTGCATCAGAGAAAGAAAAATGCTAAATTTGACCCAGTGGCGGGGGCAGCACATCCACTTTCTTTGTTTTTGAGATAGGGTTTTGCTGTCTCCCAGGCTGGAGTGCAGTGTGATCTCCAGCTCAATGCAGCCTCAACCTCCCAGGCTCAAGTGATCTTCCCATCTCAGCCTCCCAGGAAGCTGGGACTACAGCCGTGCACCACCACACTGAGTTCCTTTTGTTGGCTTTTTGTAGAAACAGGGTCTCACTGATGCTTGGCCAGGCTGCATCCTGAAGAGGCGGAGTGCGGCTTCATCCTACAGAGATGAAAGGCAGAAGCAGCTCAGAGCCCAGAGCAAAGGGGCTGGGGACAAGGGCATCCAGAACAGAGTGGCTCGGCTGAGACATCCAGTAGGATGCCACCAGGCAGGGGTGTGGTGGAAAAACACAGGGCCACAGGGTGACTGCTCACACGTGAGGAGCAAACCACCACAGAACACGACAGAAACACGGTGCACTGAATCAGGCTTCAAATGTAGCCCTGCAACGAGAGCTACACAGGCAACCGGAAGGGAGCTCGGACAGCACACGCCCACTGCCTGAGGCTGTGAGGCGACCAGAAACCTGTGCTTACTAATGACTGCCTGTTTAGAAGGAACTCAGGAAACACAAAGACACAGTGCAGCAAAAATAAGTAAATGTTAACCATGTTGGCCGAGGAAAGTGAAGAGGTCTAAGACTCTGTGCAAAGTTTCCACAAGCTCTCATTACTGAGCGCGCCACCAACCGCACTTTAAATTTTCTAGCAGCTAAATTGAAGAAACTACTTAATCAGGTAAATGGGCATAGATGAAAACAGAATAGAACAGCACCACGGCTGCTGGGCACAGTGCAGCTCCAGCTTCAGGGAGAGACAGAGCGGCCATCTCACCAGGGCTGCCCCGCCCCATCAGGCATGTGAGCCCCAAAGCCAGCGTCCCTCAGGGTGGACAGTGACTACGGGCTTCATGGGGCCACATGCCCCCAGCACAAGCTGAGGAAATCTCCCAGGGCAATTTCTGAGAACAGGGCTTCACAATGTTTGCCCAGGCTGGTCTCAAACTCCTGCTCCAGCGATCCTGCCTTGGCCTCCCAAAGTGTTGGGAGATCAGGCGTGAGGCTCCCTGCACACCTGGCCAGCAGGCACTTTAGAGAAGAGGGTTTGCATCCTGAAGGGCATGTGGGCTTCACCTCTGAGATGAAAGGCAGAGAGGAAGCTCAGAGCCCAAGGTAAAGGGGGGTGCCTAAGAAAAGTGACTCCATTGGGAACACAGTGAGAGGTCCCCATGCACAGCTTGGGTTAAACCCAGACACTGATTTCAAAGTATCTGGGGAATGGTGGACTCCAGCACCTGTCAGGTAATTCTCTCTCTCAAAAACCCAGGCTCTCCTGGTAGATATTTAGTAGCAGGTTGGGGAAATCAACATTATGTTCAACAAGATACTTGCATGATGATTAAAGAGCTATATATGCTTTGAGGACCAGCTGAAGTGGGGCAGGACTAACACCCTCTGGTGAAAATACGGGAACCCAAACACACAAGTCAGAGCAGGAGGTGTCTGCCCCCAACCCCAAACAATAATGCTGACCCTGGATTTGGGTTAAGTGCCTAGCCCAGCACGTGAGTGTTCAGTAAGTGGAAACCATCACCATCATTAGGTGACGGAAAACCATCAAAGCTTTGAGCAGGCTTGTTGGCAAAGAACAGTGGTCGTGTATTAGCCACTACTATGTCGCAGCTGACAGTCACTGAGCACTCGCTCCGTGCAGGATCTGACACCTCGCATGCATTTCCTCAATATTCCCTCCCAGTAACAGCGAGGACACAAAACTGGTAGAGCCAGGACTGGGAGCCAGGCAGGCCCCAAAGCACTCCAGTGGAGCCTGCCAAGGTGGGCAGGCTTTCATGCTAATGAGGTCCAGTATTTGACCACCACTCTAGGTGGGCAAGTTTAACAGAAAACCTACAAACTAAACCTAAAAGCTAAAAACCACAGGCAAACGCATAGAAAGCAGGCTGTTAAAATGGATCATGAGCCATCACTCACTGAGAAAACCACTCAGGAAATAAATGTCTCTGCAACATGGCCTCTGGGGAGGAGCCTTTCTGTGAGCTTGTATCACCCTGGTGACAAACCACTTGAACCTGGGTGGTCGTCTGACCACATTTCACAGATGCACAGAACCATCTGCATCCACTGTGGTCAACATTTAGGACGTTTTAAGCTAAGATTTGCCAAATTGTAGCTTACTGGATTCCAGGTTCTCTTGACATCTTTTTCCAGTAGCCATGCCTTGCATCCCAAGTATAAAGGAACTAAGATGCAAATTTAAAAGGAGGGATTTAAGAATAATGAAAAGAGAAAAATCAAGAAAGCACAATCACTAGAGCAGAGATAACAGAATTTCTGAATTCCCTGAAAACAATCTATATAAATGCATGTGAAATAATACACCAGCATCTGTGGCCCACACGTCACATATCAGAACTGATGTCAGAATATATAAGATGAAGCTTATGTTACTTGTGAAAACACAAATCCTCACAAATCATTAGGCAGTAAGGCTAAGATGAAGCATCCCCCACGCTCAGCGCAGTGGGGGCAGTGTCCAGCAGCCCTAGTGCTCCCGGCGCTGATCCAGTCTCTGGCAACATCAGGTACTTCCCACGAATGTGAGGAGCCTTTCAACATTTTCCCAACATCTCAGAAACCCGACCCCTTTTCGAGCTTAAATGGCACCCGGATCTGGAAAGGGAAACTATACACACAGAATCAGAAAAGATGACTGCCCCAAGGGATTACAGAAAAGGCGGCAGTCGGGTGTTCCAGTAAAGTAAAACGTGACCTTCCCAGGGGAGGGGGATCAATTGAGCTGAAACTGGCAGAAGGTAACTCAGGAGCTCACAACACCCAGGACCCGGATTTCCCGCCGCCTGGGCATGAGTATTCACACTGATAAGAACACACCTCCTCATAATTCCCTGCCAGCGCCTCTAGCACCCCCAAATCCTTTCCCCAGGAATACGGTCCCGTTTCTGCGGCTCCTGTAACTGTACGTTCACACAAGTGCTGCCTGGGCGACTCCCCAAGCCCTCCAACAATCACCCCCCAATGCCCTCGAGAAGACCTATTCAGAGAAGTCACCAAGATGCAGTTCTGAGGAAATTCAAGGGACCCCCAGCAGCTTACCAAAAGGCTTCCGGCTGTACAGAGCTAAGCTTCCTATTCCCTCCCTAAACCTACAACCTAGTTTTCATTTCTCAAAGAAAGCCTTTCCTTGTGCCCATGCACGCAGCTGTTAGCGGCCTGGTGAGACACTCCAGCCAACAGCGGCAGCCACAACACAAACCAGAAGCATCTCCACCATGAAGCAGTAATAATACTTTGTCCTAATGATCCCTTTGTCCTTGGAAAATGAACTTCAGAAAGAAAGTTATCCACTGTGAGCAGAGCAGGCTCGCGGCTTCTGGATCCGGACCCAGGTCCCACTGGCCCACTCACCGTTGGAGAGCTTGCTGAAGCTCGGTGTCGTCATCACTCCACTCCTGTCTTTATCAACCACAGCATCAAGAAGACCAAATAAGCTGGCGATCCAAGAGTTCAGGAAAACCAAAACAAACGTCTCCTGTCAGCCTGCACCGACTCTGGAAGGCTCAGGCCTCAGGAACCCCCGCCTCTCCCATCCCGCTGAGAGGACACGGGAATCAAAGGAAGTGCCCCCAGGAGCCCACGTCAAGCGGTCTTCCCCTAAGAGGCCAATCATCTTTCTCTCAATCCCTTCCCTTCCTTCCTCTCCTGGCCTCTCTGATTCATTTGCACCAGTTTCCCTTTTTCACAAACAAGAAAAGATTCCCTCAGATAACTAAGGCATTCCCTGGCCATGAGTCACTACAGTTTCAGTCATTCATTCCGTGGAAAAGCGACCCGGGACAGAAGGCGCCGCGTAAAGGTCACCTGCCCCGAGCAGACGCCAGATGCTGCTGCTTCCTCGGCTGCTGACATAGCAGCGCCCAGGCGAACCGTTTCCGCTTTCCCCGAACAAGCACCCCTGGAGACCCTCCACCCGGCGGCTCCTGAGGCGAGAAAAAGGGCCTAGCCAGGGAGCCGGTGGCCGCGACCTCGGGTCTGCAGCAGCCTGCTCTGCACCTCTGGAAGGGCCCAACGCACAGGACAGGGACCGGGCAGGAGAGCGGGGGGCGGCCGCAGGGACCCGGCGAGACGGGCGCAGCCGCGTCGGTCGGGCCGGGGCAGGGGTCGGGGGCGGCCGCGAGGTCGGGGCAGGGGACGGGAGGCGCGACGGTCGGGGCAGGGGTCGGGGGCAGCCGCGGGGGTCGGGGCAGGGGACGGGGAAGACGCGACGGTCGCGGGAAGGGCAGGGGTCGAGGCGGCCGCGGGGGAGTCGGGGCGGGGACGGGAGGCCGCGACAGTCGGGGGGCAGGGGTCGGGGGCGGCCGCGGGGGTCGGGGCAGGGGACCCAGGAGGCCGCAGGGGACCCGACAGGGACAGAGAAGGCCGCGGGGAACCGGCAGTGAACCAGTCGGGGGCGGCCGCGGGGGTCGGGGCAGGGGACGGGGGAGGCCGCGGGGGACCCGACAGGGGACAGAGAAGGCCGCGGGGGAACCGGCAGTGAACCAGGTCCGCGGCGGTGGGGGCAGGACTCTGGGGCGGCGGCAGCGGAGGCGGGAGGTGCTGGGGCGGTGCCAGGCCGCACCTCTGGAAGACGTTCCACAGAAAGCTCTGGTCCGGCAGCGCCGCGCCCGCAGCAGGCCCTGGGCCGGCCCCGGGGCCGGGGCGGTAGGAGTAGGCGGCCATGGGCCAAGGCGCGCGGCTGGGCTGAGGCGCCTACGAGACGTGCGACCTCTCAGGGCGACTCCGCTTCCGGCTCTGCAGGGGGCAGGGCCTGGCGTTACCTCCACTTCCGGGGGCGCAGGAAATGCGTAGTCTCCGGGATGGTCACGGGGTCCTGCGCGGCCAATCCCCTCGCAGCTCAGTTGCCAAGCAACGCCCTGGCGCCTGCGGGGCCTGTGCGGTCCGGGGCGCCTGGAGAAAGCCAGAGCTCTGGAGCAGGCAGCCGGCTAACGGTGCTGGGAAGGTGCTTGGAGAAAATGTCTGGCTCCGCGACCCAGGACGGGAAGTGATGGAGCAGGGAGTTAGTTAGCCTTTCAGTTCTTGTATATAGAGAAGTTTTGACGTGAATGTGATTCAGGCTAACAGTCGGAAACTCTGGGCGGGGCGCGCTAGCTCACGCCTGTGATCCCTGCGCTGTGGGAGGCGGAGGCGGGCGGAGCTCTTGAGCCCAGCAGTTCGGACGAGCCTGGGCAGCGTGGCCAGACCCCATCCCTACAAAAATTGCAGAAAATAGTCGGGCGTGGTGGCAGGCCCCTGTGGCCCCATCTACTCCATGGGCAGAGGCGGGAGGATCGCCTGAGCCCAGGAGGTCGAGGCCGCAGGGAGCCGAGATCACTGCACTCCAGCCCGGTGGACAGCGAGACTCTGCCAAAAAAAAAAAAAAAAAAAAAAAAAAAGCAGGCCGTGCGCAGTGTCTGACGCCTGTAATCCCAGCACTTTGGGAGGTCGAGGCCGGTGGATCACCTGAAGTCGGGAGTTCGAGACCAGCCTGACCAATATGGAGAAACCCCGTATCTACTAAAAATACAAAATTAGCCGGGGGTGGTGGCGCACGCCTATTCCCAGCTAGTCGGGAGGCTGAGGCAGGAGAACTGCTTGAAGCCGGGAGGCGGAGGTTACAGTGAGCGGAGATCAGGCCGTTGCACTCCAGGCTGGGCAACAAGAGCGAAACTCCGTCTCAAAAAAAAAAAAAAAAAAAAGGGAAAACGCATTTCGGGTGGGAAGAACAGTGTGCAGCGTTCTCGGTTGTCTGTTCCGCCCGTAAAAGCTTCCCTCCTTTAGGTTTAACCTGCGCCCCCGCGCTCTGCCTCAGCGCCGCCCCCGACGCCCTGCAGCTGGCAACACTGGGCGCCTCCCTGCCAGGTCCCTTCCCGCCCCGTGGTGGTGCGGCCCTGCCTCCCCCGAGACAGCACTGCCTCCGTGCTGGACACAGTTCTGCGGTGGAGCCTGGAGTGCCTGTAGCACCAATCCCCGCAATTGGGAAGTGCCCAGCTTCGGGCCACTGATCCCTGGGTCTTTGCCGCCTTCCACCCCAGTCCTGTGTCCTGTGTCCATCCCTGGTTCAGGATACTACAATTATTCTCATTTCTTCGTGGGGTTTTTCCAGCTTTTCAGGTTCTTCAATGCCTCATTCCACGAATGCTCTTTTCATCCTCGTAGTTCCAAGCGTTGTCTCCGAATTTTTACTAATTTGCCTGCCAAGATGTTGAATGGACCCAGAGCCAACGACGTGGTCTTTTATCAGTGGCACCTGAGACTTTCTTCCCTGTGGACGCAAATCCATTATTCAGCACTCTAGGCACAGCTATAGATCTGATCAGCTATCCATTCTCCAAACCATCTCAACCTCTGTCCCATTTTTCTGTCTCCTCTTGTCCACAAGGCATATACCTGAGAGTTTTCAAATTCCTCAAAGAAATTTAGGTATTTTGTGGCTTTGGCATTCACTTAATGTGTTAATCTACAAACCTCTTCTACAATGTGGATTTTTTTTTTTCATGATGTAGTGAATTCAAGTGGTTTCTAGTGTTCTCTTCATAAAGTTGTAAACCAAACATAAAATTCTAAGGCCCCACCCATCTGAATGGACCCCTTCTCTGAGCCAGGGCACTCCAAATTAACCTGAAAACCATGAAGCGGGGGTGGGACATGGCTGACTATGCCCTCCCCCCTTTTGGAATTCAGGGGATGCCTGCTACCCCAAGGCTTCATCTGCTGATAAAACTTTGGTCTCCACAACCTCTTATAACCCAGACATTCCTTTCTGTTGGTAATAACTCTCAACTAATTGCCAATCAGAACATTTTTAAAACCCAGAAGCCCCCACTAATTGCCAATCAGAACATTTTTATAACCCAGAAGCCCCCACTTCGAGTCGTCCTGCCTTTCTGGGCTGAACCAAGGTATATCTTAAATAGATTTGATTGATGTCTCATGACCTTCTAAAATGCGTAAAACCAAGTTGCACCCCAACCACCTCCTGAGGGCTGTGTCATGGGCGTGGCCACTCTATTTGGCTCAGAATAAATCTCTGCAAGTATTCACAGAGTTTCAGTCTTTTCATTGACGAAGTATTCATATCACTTGTTGAAGAATCCTTTCTAGAATCTTCCACAGTTCTTTGATCTGTAGTTTCTGAAGTCCATCTTTATTCTCCTTCCCATCACTGGCTCCTGTTTTGTTCTCCAGAACTCTGAAAATACTAACAACTATGATTTTGTGACCCAATCTGGAAGTTCCTCTTACAGGGACACCTCAGCAAGAAACAGCTCAGCGCTGGATGCAGTGGCTCACGTCTATAATCCCAGCACTTTGGGAGGCTTAGGTGGGAGGATCGCGTGAGGCCAGAACTTTAAGACTAGCTTGGGCTATTTTAAATTTTCAAAAAGTGGGGAGCATCTCAGTGACTGCAGCAGGCCTCAGCCTCCATATCCCAACAGTGAGTTGGGCTGTACTGACTGTTGGCCGAGTCTCCAACCTGGAGTACCACAGCCGTCATCACCCATGGCACCCAGGAGTGTTCCGTGATGCTTTCCCTTAGTTCTAGGGGCAGAAAATGCCTTCATTCAAGAGAGGACATACTTAATGAATGCAACCAGCTAGAATCCACTCTAACATTTAAATATGTGACTTTGTTTAATCCTCACCATGCCAAGGCACCACATCCACATTTTACTGAAGATAAAATTATAGTTCTGAGAAAGTAACTTGCCTAAAGCCAAGCATGCAGTAAGAGGAGATTCAAGCCCAGATCCTTTTGTGCCTTTTCTACCTCATCTCAGTGGCAGCACAGCTGACTCTTGAAAGGGAAGTTAATTACTATGAAATTAAGGTTTACAGAAAAAACACCCTGGCCGAGTGCAGTGGCTCACGCCTGTAACCCCAGCACTTTGGGAGGCCGAGGCAGGCAGATCACAAGGTCAGGAGATCGAGACCATCCTGGCTAACACAGTGAAACCCCGTCTCTACTAAAACTACAGACAATTAGCGTAATCCCAGCTACGCGGGAGGCTGAGGCAGGAGAATGGCATGAACCTGGGAGGCGGAGCTTGCAGTGAGCCAAGATGGCGCCACTGCACTCCAGCCTCAGTGACAGAGCGAGACTCCATCTCCCAAAAAAAAAAAAAAAAAAAAAGGAAAGAAGAAAAAACACCCTGCGTGCATACTCATACGAATGCACAAATGGATGTGTCTAGAACAAGAGATACTGGCCTGATATATACACAAACTATGCAGCTGCAGTCCCTGCCTCTTCCACAACCCTGCCCTCTAAGAAACCTCTAGCTCTGAATCCTGCCAGCACTTGGGCTGTGCTGCGTGGGACAACATTGTCTTCACAAGTCCTCTCCACATTCTCAGAGGCGGGGGTTTTGCCATTGATGGGGGATGCTGCCTGAGTCCCGTCACCAGGGACAAAGCTACAGCGGAGACCACCATCTGCCAACAAAAAGAGAGATCATCTCCCACCCCTGGTTCTGCTGACCCAATCACTGGAAGCATCCAGGCACCACGATCTCACCTGCCTCGGATTCAGTTTCCTCCTAGCCAGGTCTGTTCTAAGCTTTCCAGAAGTTGAGAAATTAACTGAAAGATAACACTTTCCTCCCTGTGTTAAGGTTAATCACATAATGTATCCAAATACTGGGTCAGTCTTTACTGTGGTCTCATTTCTCTAATTTGAAAATGCCTTTTCTGTTTTCCTTAGAATTTTTCTAAGCGTTTCTGGGCGCATGTGTTCCACAGTGCACCCTCTTGTGCATCTGATGTCTTTGGCACATATAGGCCCTTGACAAGTATTTGTTGAATGAGCGGATGACCATCCTGTCCTTTGTGTGAACAAGCATATGCAAGTGTACATTGTATCTGTACATGTATCCAGCAGCATCCCTCCAAAGCCACTTTGGTTCACTTATTTTCTCAGGATCACTGATGGCTGCATCATGACATTTGCACACAGAATCTTTCCTTTTCCAGTCACTTTTCCTTTTTCCAGATTCCGGCCATAGAATTCCAGGGACAGAGCCAACCGTGCCTGGCACCCCCTCCTGTCTTGGGACAAGGATACTTTCTCCTGTGGCTCCCGTCTTCCTTGCAACATTCTTCTGCCAGAATTCAGTATGGAAGACAATGACCTGCCACTTTTAATTTTTCCCGTTTTGCTCTTCTACCAAATACCGCTTTTAACACAGGCTTTTCACTGAGTAGTGGACAATCTATCAAATAGGTGCTGTTCGGTGTGAGGGGGCATTTGCAAAGGTCTGCGTCAGTGCTGGCTGATGGAACTTTCCGGTGATAGCATCGTTCCATAGCTGCACTCTCCAGTGCGGAGGCTACTTGCCACTGTGTCTACTGCACGGGACGGGGCAGGTCTGAGCATCTCACACACAGCGGCCGCCGTGTCTGCTGCTCGGGACGGTGCGGGTCTGAATATCTTAAACACAGCTCAGCTTTTTGGTGCCTTTGATCCGTGTTAGCAATTACCCACATCTTCTCTCTGGGCAATATTCTACTTTCATTTTATATTGACCCAATTATTTTACGTCTTTGGTGTGTCCTTTCTCCTAACACATATGGGTTCACTTTGAAACCTTGAAGCCCACATTTACAAAACGTTTTCGGTATGAAACATGGTTCCACGACTCATGAGTGGAGTACCATAAACATTTCCATTTCCAGACCACCCACTGCCCAGTGGTTTTCTTGGTCTCAGTGCTCATGAAAACGGTCTGAAGGTTTGTTCTGGGTTCCTAAGCAGTAGACACACACACAACACTGCCTGTCAGCTATT